GTGGCTTTGGCAGTAATTGGATTCTGAGGGCTCTGCATACATGAATGGATTAACTGGTCATAGAGGAGGTAGCTCTGTTACAAAACTAAATTCTCTCTGCACCTCTTACCCAGTGATGCACTCTGTCATATAAATCCTTAAGAAGTGGTTTGGTGTTTGGTATTGTTTGTTCATTTTGAGTGACTATAATTTTATTATGGTTTGGTTTCATTTTATTGCTGGCATATAGAAGTGACTGGATTTCACATTTTACTAGCATCTTAAGACCTGCTTATTCTGGCAACAAAGTGTAAGATATTCCACATGGGTGATCATTTCAGTGAAGTTTGGGCTGTGTGCCACCTTTCCTATTCTCCAAGCCTCTATTTCTTTCATTTTCTATTGTACTGAACACACTGGCCAATACTATGTTAAAAGTAAAAATGAACTTTCTTAGATTCCAATACAGGAGGAAGTCAGACAAGCCTGGAAAACCTAATACAGTCTCATCTGTAAAACACCAAAAGGGAGAAAGAAAGAAAGAAAGAAAGAAAGAAAGAAAGAAAGAAAGAAAGAAAGAAAGAAGAAAGAAAGAAAGAAAGAGAAAAGAGAAGAAAAGAAAAGAAAGGAAAGAAAGTATTAACAAAGGAAAATGAAATTATTCTTGGATAATTACATGGATATACTTTTATGCTTTTGATATTTGCATTGAGAGTAAGAACAATAGATTGTAAATGCTTGAATTAACATTCCCATACCCATCATCTGTGACAGGTACTAGCTGCCTTCCAAGATCTATAATCTCTTCTTTCTGATTAGGAGAATGTAGCTTTCTGTTAAACAAGAAAATTTATCTACTTAAAAACATCCCTCCTTCCACATCCCCTCTGAGATGGGGCAGCCACCAGAACCCTTGACAGCTGCAGAAGTCAATTAAGTAAGACTGTAGGAGGTGCTATTTCTTAACACCAAGCTATACATAGATGACATGTTAGATTTAGCAGACCTGAACATTTGTTCCTCACCATGCCCTTAGTCTCACTAAGCACATGGTGGACATGAAGAAACTCATTGCACTTCACAGAAAATGGACAATCACCCAAGATGGCAGATGGGAGGCTAGACTAGATTTTTTTTTTTACTCACTCCATTAGTAACTAGACAGATTTAATTCCTATGCCTGAATTTTTGTTACATTATAAACAATAGTACTTGAACAATTAATTCATTATTACATGAAAACAAAATGCAATCTAGGTGATACCATTAGATCCTTAGCCAGATCACATCTGTATTTACAAAGACTAGATAGGCAGATGTAGATAATTAATAGATAGATGATAGAGAGATAGACATGGATGATATATTGATAGATAGATAGATAGATAGATAGATAGATAGATAGATAGATAGATAGACAGACAGATAGGAGATGATGCTAGATTAGATGATTGATTGCTGATAGACAATGATAGATAGATGACAGATAGAGATAGATGACAGATGATAAATAACCTGTAAAATTAAATTATAAGCATATTTGTCCAGCATTTGCAACAAATCCCTTCAGATTTCTAAAAGCACTATGACCCCACATGATAAAGTGCTCATGATTTCCTTCAAGATTAAATACTTAACAATTCTACCAAAAGAAATTAAGTTTAGAATTCATTTTATGTTACCTTTAAAAGCAAATGAGGCCTATTATTAAGTTAAGGGCAAAACTTGGAACTATACTACTGGATTATTTTTATTGTAAAAAGAATACACTGCATACTCTCCTCATTCATGCTCTTCTCATTTAAAAAACATTTGAGAGCCTATGGATAATGTTCATTGTTTCTAATTTTCATAATACTTTGTATTCATTATGGAAGAACATATTATATTCTGAAATACATATTTTAAACATTAATCAATAAATATCTCCCATAAACTCACTCACATTCCTTCTGACACATATTCAGTTAAGTCTTTCCATTATCAGTTAGTGACATAAGAATACTGTTTACAATAGCACTGTCCACTCAAAAGGCAAAGTCCAAGCCACTATTTGGCAGATTATTCTGCCCATTCACAGCACTTCTGCTGGCATATTCTGAGCCCAGAGCTCAGGGCTTGTTCTATGTGTGCTGTCTTCAGTACAGACTTTCTCCAAAACGTTTTTGTAACTACCATTGTCCGTTCTTTGACCACTTCATAATTCTGATTATTACAACACCCATCTTCCTCTATTCTCTATTCGACCCCTCTTCCCAATAAGACCCACACTTATTCATAACATTGAGTTGTTTGCTTTGTTTTTCATTACATTGCTTCCAACAGGGTCATCTATGTGACCATGGGGTTAGACCCTGGAGCTTTGTTGTCCCTTAGTGGTGCAGAAATGAAGAAAAGGATTTCTCTTCTCTGGACTCCAACATTAGTCAACAATTCAGAAGGGAGGCGAGGCCCCATTAATCTCTCCCTGAAATATTATTGACTCCAAATGTCTTTTTTCAACTATTACTATATTTCTGCAAATTTTAAATGTTTTTGCTGTTCAGTCAAAATGTTTCCCTCCCTGCATCCTATTTACTACAATTAAAATTTTACCTTTGCTCTGTGGAGATTTCTGTGGAGATCTTCTATAGGGGTGATCACACTGCCCACTGTCCTTTTATTCCTGGAACTTGCAGGCTGTGAGATTCTCAACCTGGAGCAACTCATTCAAACCCACCCACCTTTCAACACTGCCTTGATGCTATTTTTTTTCTGCCCTTTAGAAACTTTTCATATTATCTTTCTAAAAATTATTTTCCTTAACCAACATGATAGTAATTGCTGTGTCTTTGCTTTACTTCTCACCTCCCAAGATCAAATCCCTTTCCTCCTCCTAGTACCAGTGCTTCCTACACACAAAATGAGAGTATGCTTCAAGGGCTGCTCATTATCTCAGTCTTTATTGATCTGATCTCTCTGTTGTCCTGAGAATGTTAGGCCACAACTATGACTTCAAGCAAATGATTGGGTTCACACCGCAAGCCCAACACATTCCCTCTGAATTTTGCCTCATTTCCAAGCATATTTTATCTTTCCCCATCAAAATGCAAAACAAAAACATAATGGGACAAGATAAAAATTCATATTTCTACTATAAGTTTGCATGTAGCCATTTTATTTTATGCCAGCCACTCATGTTCAAAATATTAGAAATCTGTTTCCTTATTTCTCCCCCTACATTTTGTTTGTTAAACACAGACCATTAGTTCTTTGCACTGTTCTTTGTGACATGATGCTGGCTGAAAGACCCTGAAAGGGAGACAGACTTGAATTCACAGCAATGCAACGCCCTTTCTGACATTGGGTTAGCTTTTAATCCTCAAGGTACTGTCCTCTTCCACAAAGCAAAAGGCTTTCCCTGCCAGAGGGGATGCTGAGGAATGAATAGCTCTTTCCAGAGAGGTCGTCTCATCTGTGAGAGTTGCTTCCTTCCTTTTCCTTCCCTTCCTTCCCCTTACACCTGCCTTTGTCCTCTCCAGAAAATACTGGAATTTCTTTAGTGAACTTTGGAACTGTCATCATGTACAGAGCACGCAGAATGAGGGAACGTCTATGTTTGCAGTCGGTGTAACTGCAGTAGATCACTGTACTGAGGAGGTTTGGCTCTTCACCCGCTTTCCATGGCCATCCCTGCTGTCGCCCTCCTCAGACTTTTTATTACTTCCTTAAAGGGACCCTCAGTTATTCTGACCACAGGGCAGAATCTAAGTGATCCTTTGCTTTGAGGGTGCAGGTTAAGACACCAGGCTTAAATGATACCCCATTATTGACAATTACAATACATTGATAACAGGTAGTTTACTTAGGGAAAAGCATTCACGAAAGGGAGCCAGTGACCAGGACAGACCCACAAAATGCTTCCTAGTTAGCTCAGCCAGGCAAAACAAAAAGAGGGACCCTGTGCTTGCCTCCCTCCTACTTAAACCCTTGTTACATCACTCTGACCATGCCCAAGCAGGTGTGGACAGCGGTACCCCTTAATCAGGGTTTCTCCCTACACCCCATTTTTCAATTATTACAAAATAATTGCCAAACCTAAAATGTATGTAACTAATATTGTAAAATCATGTTCTATAGGCAGTTACAGTACAACCTTGCAGCTTTGCAATCACCCTTCTCATCATCAGTGTCCATATGCTCTCCCAGTTTCATCACTGCCCACATCAATTCCTTATTATTTCGCAGAGTTCCTGTGCAATGTAGACATGTAACACGTAATTACTTTTGGTCAATGAGAGCTCACATTTGTAGTGATGGTCTCACGGGGTCACATCACCTTGTGCCCCAACTCTCTTACTCTGTTCAATGTCCAGTGGTGTTTGACAGTGATGAAGCCACCTGTAACCACTGGAAATGCAGACTCCTGTTGTTCATGCCACATTTGAAAACTCTTTTCTCCAAATCCATGTTCAGACTCTCTACTGTGCTTAATTAATCTTTTTTCTAAGAGCTGTAGAATTAAACCCTCCTTCTTAATTTTGTCTGCTCTAAAACTCAAGTGCTATGAAGAATGGTTATCTTTTTAAATATATAACAATAATGTTGTATAACCTCTGCATTTCAATTATTCATAAGAACTTTCAGTATCTTATATCAAAAATATTTAGTTATGCCAATTAAACTAAATCAACTGAATAACAAGTAGTTTTATACCTTCCAATAATAATATAAATTGTGCTATGCCATTTCAGCAATAAAAAATAGTTCCCACAACAAACAACATATATCAAAATAAATATCTTTCAGATAAAATGTATTTAAATACAACTTGATTTTAGAATTAACATGTTTGCATAAGACATATACAAACTTTTATTAACTATCAGATATACAGTCTACTTCTAATGTTTTCACAAGTGAATACTTTTATAAAAGATATGAAACCATACTGTTAAACAGATTATATATTTAAGTATAGTATTTAGAGCTAAAATTTTATATCTATGAACTGATTTTGAAGGAAACATTGAGTGGGTTACCTTTATCAATGCTGGGCAAAATTTAAAGAATAGCCTGGGATTGAATGCTTTAAATCTCTCCGGAAGATGCCAGTTCTGAATGATTTCTTCATCAGATATAACATGGTGGTCCAGGGCTTTGAGAGGCCAGATACTGTTTACAAGAACATGCCTGTAGCCTTTTTTAAGACTCACAGGGCAGTCAAACATGGTCAGTCCAATAAGGCTTGCACATGCAGCTAATACACAGATGTTCTTCAGCTTGCAAAAACTATTGTCATGGAGATAGAGGAGTTTTAGGTTCTTGAGTCCAATCCAAAAATTTCTGTCTGGAAGAATTTTTATCTGAAATAATATTTAAAATATGTATGGTTCATAAAATATGTAAGGAAAAATAGTGAAACATTTAAGATCACCTAAATTCAGTATTTTGCAAATGGTGAGTACCTAATAAATGAAAGCAGGATCTCCAATTATCCACCTGATGACTGCAAAGACAGGATGAACTGGGTATTTGAAATACAGTGCAATTACCAAGATAGTGATGTATGCACACACAAAAAATGCACAGGGATGGAAAGATACAGAACTCCAGTGAAAAGTTCTTAGTACAATTCTAAATGAGGTTCCTCACACAAATAATCGAAAACTCAAAGTGTATTATCCTTTTCTCTCTTTTTTTTCTCCATTTTTATTTAAATTAGAAATGAGATTGTTTTACATGTCAATCCCAGTTCCCTCTCTCTCCCTCCTCCCCTGCCCTCCCCCACTAATTCCTTATCCCATTCCCTTTCTGCTCCCCAGGGAGGGTGAGGCCTTCCATGAGGCTCAAAGTGTATTATTAATCTAGATTGCACAGGTAAGAAGTGAAAATATGGGGCTGAAGAGGCTGAAGAGATGGCTCTGTGGTTAGGAGCTTTTGCTGCTCTTCCACCAGACCCAAACCCACACTTGACAACTCACAACTATGGGTCACTCCCTGGGATCTGCCACCTTCTCTGGCAAGAGCAGTTCCAAACACACACACACACACACACACACACACACACACACACACACACACACAAATATAAATGTAAATAAAAATTAAATCTTTAAAGCAAAATAATTTAAAGACTGGAGAGATTGGCTCAGTTGTTGAGAGTGTTACTGCTTGTCCACTGACTTCAGTTCAGTTCCCAGAATTCATGCAGGATGGATGACAACCCCTTTAACTACAGATACAAGGGACCAGATGCCTTCCTCGGGCCTTTGTGGGCAGCTGTACACATTTGGCATATAGATACAGAGAGACTCTATACATACACAATTTAAAAATAAGGAAATTACAACATATTATAAATGTTTACATATTGTTTTAAATGCTTGGGTTACATTTTGTACTTTGTGCCTGTGTGCCTTATTTGTATATAATTTTAAGCTTGTCTTTGTATTTTCCAAACACAAAGAGAATACAAATACAAATACAAAGGGAAGAGTGCTGTAGATCTACAGGGTAAGTGCACTGGCATACAGACAGTAGCTGGTGGCTGTAGATCTACAGGGTAAGTGCACTGGCATACAGACAGTAGCTGGTGGCTGTAGATCTACAGGGTAAGTGCACTGGCATACAGACAGTAGCTGGTGGCTGTAGATCTACAGGGTAAGTGCACTGGCATACAGACAGTAGCTGGTGGCTGTAGATTTACGGGTGAGTGCTCTGGCATACAGACAGTAGCTGGTGGCTGTAGATTTACGGGTGAGTGCACTGGCATACAGACAGTAGAGGTGCTGACCTGGTTTCCATGGAGATCAAGTTTGATTAGCTTTATACAGCACTGCAGGGGCTGTATGTCAGTGATGAAGTTGTTGGAGAAGATACACACTTTCAGAGAGATGCATGACTGCAGGTTCTCCATGGACTTCAGGTGGAGGCCATTGTACTTCACAAACACAAAGTCCTTCTTGTTTTCTATAATATTTTCATTGTAGTGATTCCATTCTTCATGGCTGGTAAGCTCTTTTGTGATTGTTCCATGAAACATCTAGGAAAGAAGGAAATACATGTTTAAGAATGACGAAACCAGGAGATGAAGAATTGGCTCAGCCATTCAAACGACTTGTTACTCTTCCAGAAGACCTGAATTTGTTTCCCAGAACCCACAGGGCAGCTCAAGCTGCCTGTAACTCCATCTTCAGGGAGTCTGATACTCACTTAGTAAACTCCAAGGATATGCACATGCAAATGCCATATATACCTACACAAATAACAGACACAGGGATATGCATACACATTTTAACATATTTACAAAGAATTACCTTCAAGTTTTAAAAATCTTCTTGAACACACAATATTATCATTTCCATGAATTTGCCCTCACTATGGGATAATATCAAATTCCATAGAAGTCAGTTAGACATCATCTTCAGGAGGATGTACAAGCATTAATGATCTACCTGGTGATTCTTTTGCAAGATAAACTATCCTTCCTATTAGAAGAATCAGTTTCTACCAATAGCAAATAAACTAAACCTACATGATCCAAATAAACTAATTAAAGAATGGGATACAGACCTCAACAGAAGAATCTCACATGTTCGGAAGACACTTAAGAAAATGCCCAACATTGCATCAGGGAAATGCAAATCAAAACAACATCTATCAGAATGGCTAAGACCAAAAACACTGATGACAGCTTATGCTGGGGATGCGGAGTAAACTCCTCCATTGCTGGCGGGAGTGCAAATATGTCCAGCCTCTGTGGAAATCAGTATGGTGTTTTTTGAGAAAATTAGGAATAAACTGCTTCAAGACCCTGCAATACTACCATATTTGGCATATACCCAAAGAAGGAATACTCACGCCACAAGGATATTTGTTCAAATATGTTCATAGGAGCATTATTCATATTTGTCAGAACTTGGAAGCGACCTAAATGTCCCTCAACTGAAGAATGAATAAAGGAAATGTGGTACATTTACACAATGAAGTACTACTCAGTGGTAAGAAGCAATGACATCTTTAAATTGGCAAGCAATTGGACAGAACTAGAGAAAACTGAATGAGGTAACCCAGATCCAGAGAGACAAATATAGTATGTACTCACTCATAAGTGGATATTAGACATAAAGCTAAGTATATCCAGTCTACAATCCATAATGCCAGAACCCTCTTCCAAAAACAAATGGAAGCAGATGCAGAGATCTATAACTAACCATTGGGCCAAGCTCCTGGAGTACAATCGAAGTGAGGGAGGAGCCATAATATGAACAAAGAGTCAAGACCATGGTGGGGAAACCCACAGAATCAGCTGACCTGAGCTAGTGAGGGATCACTGACCCCACACTCTCAACTGGGAAACCAGCGTAGGACTGAACTAGGACCCCTAAATATAGATGAGAAGGGTGCAGATGGGACAATATATATGAAGGCACTGATAATGGGACCAAAGTCTAACTCTAATGAATAAAGTGACTTTGTGGTGTATTCTCTATAGAGAGATATATTGCTCAGCTGAGACATGGGGGGAGGACATGCCTTGGTCCTGCCTCATTGAGATAATGGACACTTAGCTGACATCCTAGGGGAGGCCTTACCCTCTTAGAGGAGCAGATTAGAGGTAGGATGGGGAAAGAGGGGGAAGCAGAAAGTGGGGAAAGAGAAGGGAGTGGTAACTGGGATTGGAATGTAAAAAATCAAGTTTTAAAATTAAAAAAGAAATGTAAAAATTCATATGAAGTTGATATTAAGGCAAAATCTACTTTAATATCCTGACCTAACACTATAATCCTAAACTGTAAAGTCACCTACAGAATTTATGAAAGGGTCATTTATGAAATCCCATCTCCAATCTAGTGTATCAGGGTCCCAGATCTAAAGGTTCAGGGTTTTCTAATCAGGTAATTCAGGGACATTCTGACAGAGATTAGCCAAAATTACAAATGAATCACCCTTGCAAATTTAAAGCCACAGGCATGGTACAAGCTCTATTACACATCAAGTTCTGTAGACACTGAAATGCAGGCTGTATCTACACTGTCCCTCTTTGTTTGTTTTAATTACACAACTGTGGAAGCCTCTGCCTGTTTGGTTTTCCTTTTTTTTCCATTTTGGTGCAAAGCTTGGCTAACTTCAGACGATGACAAGGGTTTATGAGCACCATGTAGATGGCAGACCAGCATGATGTTTCAAAGTAGAAATAAGGATACTTTTCACTCAGAGTCAATAACTGTTCCACAAAGAGTTATGAAGTGAGAGTCATATAATAAATGGTGTTTATTTTTATTACGATGATGTGAATTTTTATTTTTAAATACATTCTCACAGTATTCCTTCATCATATTCTGATGGGGCAAGTCCTTCTGTGTATTTTTATCTTATTGGTTGTTGAATAAAGTACTGTTGGCCAATGAAGAAGCAAGTTCGGCAGGATTAGGAGTCAAGGATGATTCCAGGAAATGTATTAAAAAGAAGTCTTATGATACAGGCAGAAAGTGACATAGCAGGCAGACTCATATATAAGCAGGGACAAGAAGGAAGCTATCCTCTTGCTCTTCCTCTCCTGCTCTCTGCTCTCTTCTCTACAGAGCCACCATGTGATCCTGGCAAGAGGAGGCCAGTGCGAGGCGTCCTCCATAAGATAAGTCTTATGATTATGGTTGATAAATAAGACTGAGCTAGCAAATGAGAAATCCTAGTCTTTGGCCAAGCAGCATTTGTACCTAATATAATTCTCTGTGTATTATTTGGGGCCCTAACATGGTGGGCATAACTTGAGCGGAACTCGGGTGGCTGGTGGAAAAGCGCCCATGTAGTGGCAGGGCTTGGGCAGATGGAGTAAAGACTAATCGTTACAATATTCTTTCCCATCCCCCAACTCTTCCCCAACCACCTTCTCTTACTTCATCTTGTCTCTTAAACACACACACACAAAAAAAAAAAAACACCAAAGAAAAGCACATATGAATACACAAAACAAATAAACAACAAAAAAATCATGGAATCCATTTTGTGTTGGCCTATTACTCCTGTAAGTGTTTAACTGGACTTATATCTTCAGGGTTAGAGTTCATGATGGTGAGAAATGAATGGCTGAGGGCTTCCCTCTTGATCTTCAAGAAGGAGACAGAGAAGGCACACTGGGAATGGTGTATGAAAACCTGTCACAAGTGACACACATCTTCCAAAAAGGTCACATCTCCTAATTTTCCCAAAAAGTTCCACCATCTTGGGACCAAGTATTCAAATATATGGGTGATGGGGGATTTCCTTTTGTTTATCTGTTTCTCTTATTGGTTGATGAACAAAACACTGGCCAATAGGGGCAGGAAGATAGGGGGACTAGGAGACTAGGAGATTCTGGAAAAAACAGGGATGCCATGTAGCCACCAAAGGAAAAGCAGGTCCAAACATTCTCCAGTACGCCAATACCACATGGAAATACATAGATTTATAGAAATGGGTTAATAATTAAGACAGAGCTAGCCAATAAGAAGCCCTAGCCATCGGTCAAGAGTTTACAAACAGCATCCATCCACATACAGTATCAAGATTCTCTCTATCCAATTGAAAGTGACTATATGATTCACTGCATTAGTAAACAAATAATACACATAGATGTTTGTAATTTTATAGAACTACATCACTGTGTATATAAAGCTGTTATTTCAAATTATTTATCATACTGATTGTTCCATCTTTTCTTTTGAAACTTACTTTCAGCAGTGTATTTATTCAAACAGATTTATCTCCCTTTTTTTGTTGAAGTTCATTATGTGTGAGGTCATCCACTGAACATGGTGAACCTCTTAAAGGTCACAGTCTTAAAGAAAATTGACAATCCCTCTCCCAGCACCTACAAATTGTCCATAGCTTCTCAGCCAGGGGTAGGATTTTTACAAGTTATAATAACTGAGCTGGAAAATACACCTCCCGGTGCACTGGGGGAAAGAATTTCGCAGGGGGTATTCAACAGCTTTCTGATTTGAATTTCAGGATGTAAGTCACCCTCCTTAAGAGAGAGCCCATACCTGACACCAAGAACCTGTGCCAGACAGGTCATAAGGCTTTGCTTGAGAACCTATAATCAGCTAAACAGACACAGCATTAAACTAACTCCTAGTGATACATCACTAGACTCACTGCAAAGAGGCTCAACTGGTCAATGTGTAGAGAATTAAAAATGTACAATGCTCGGCTTTCTCTATTGATAATCTATGCTACACCATTTCCTCCCAAGGCTCAGCGATCATAGTGGAAGGGAAGTCGGAAGAGGGTAAGCTCTAGGTACACCAGGACAGCTGCACTTGTGAACTCACAGCAGATGTGACAACAACTGCACAAGCTCCACATGGAGTAAATCCCAGCATGGACAGAGAAGGCAGGCATGAAGTCCTCCTGTATGTTATCTTTAAATTGCCTTACTGTAATGGATAGAAAGAAATGGCCCCCATAGGCTCATAGGGAGTGGCACTATTAGGAGGTGTGGCCTTGGAGTGTGCTACTGGGGGTGGGCTTTAAGGACTCAGAAGCTCTAGGCAGCCCTGTGGGGCAGTCTCTTCCTGCTACTTGTGGATCAAGATGGTTGAATGGGCTCCTTCTCCAGCACCATGTGTTCTTGTGTGCCACTGGCCTTCCTGCCACGAGGACTATGGACTAAATCTCGGAACTATAAGCCAGCTCCAATTAAGTGTTTCCTTTATAAGAGTTGCCATGGTCATGGTGCCTCCTCATAGCATTAAATGCTAAGGTCAGTTTATTAAATTAAAAAAAAGAAGCTAAGCTTACTTAGAATCTTAGCTAAGTTCATAGGAAATTGCTTTGCAGAATTCTGAGCAAGGTTTTCATGCAGAGAGACTTCTGAAGCCAAGTTGTAGGGGATGACAGGATTTCCGGGTTTGCGATGGAAACGTCTTCCTTAAATGTCATTTTCTCTATGCTATGTGTAAGAATGGAGAGACCACTCTCTGCAGAACTGTTTGCAAACCAGGATCCCTAGGAGAGAAAGACATATGATCAGCCAACGGGACCATGTTCGGCCAGGCTGACTTCCTGCCCTCATCTACACCTGTGGTGGCATCTCTCTGAGAAGCCAGGGGACACAACTGCGAGCCCTGATGCTGACACAGGTTCAAGACCCTGACTTCGAGGTCGGCGGAGTGACGGCGGCAGCGTGGTCTGCTCCTCCATCCAGCATCCCACCCGGGCCGGACAGGGTGTGGCCCGGCCTCGTGGTGACGGGAAGGGGAACTCTGTGCGAGCTCTGGGCGAGCGGGGTCACCTGGGCATCCGGATGATGGTTCCACCGTGGTCTACGGGCGGCTCCCCTCGGGCGCGCCGCGGGCTGTCAGGCGTGGAGAGGCGGAAGCCCACGGCGCAGGCCCCTCCAAGCCCCGCACCCCGAGGGCGAGCGGCTCATGTGCGAGCGCAGAACGTTACCCCGAGAGACGCGCATGCGCACGGGCGCTGGCCGCGGTGACGTAACCGCGCGGCAGAGGGCGGGGACGGGGGCGTGGCGCGGGCTCCCGGAAGCGGGGACCATGGCTGCTCTCCGCGAAGCGAGCCTGCGGAAGCTGCGGCGCTTTTCCGAGATGAGAGGTACCCTGGGCGGAACTGAGTTCCTCACCCCCACCCACCCCGTGCCCGCCCGGAGGGCATCTCCTGCCCGCGGACCCCTCGCCCGCTGCCGCTTCCGGTCCGCCCCGTGCGCCCCAACGCTCGCTGCTCTGGGCTCGCTCCAGCTTGGTGTCAGCAGGGGAGCAGCAAGGGGGTTATTAACCGTTGCCCCCTGACCCTGCGAAACTCTCCAGCTTGTCCCCCTTTCAACTCCAGCGGGAAGGCAGCTAGGACTTCAGAGTGCCTCCAATTTAAGTTTGCCCTCTAAAGGGAAAACCAGACGGGTGCCTGACGAAGCTGGTGTCTGTGACTGTCTGCAATGTGGGAATTTGTATTGGTAAATCAGAAAGTTTGGGGAATTATTAAATCCTAGGTGAAGGCTATCTCCTTCCCCTCCCCTCTCTCCCCGTCCTCTCCTCCCTCCCCTCCTTCTCTTTGAACTGGTGTCTGCTCAGGACACCCCAAGACACAAGTTCTGAGCACAAAGGAGATTTCTTTGTCCCAGAGGGACAGAGGGCAGGGAATAAAAGGCAAAGGGGAAGACAAGGAAGAGGAACGAGGGAGATTGCGAAGGGATATTTGTCCTGAAGAGACCAAGGACTGTCCCTCCTAGAACAGAGAGGAAACAGACCGGGCCCATAGGCCAGTGGCAGTTTATAAAGGAAACTCAGTATTAGAATGAGGGTTTTTTATGTTAATTAGGTTAGCCAAAAAGGGACTTTTGATTGCAGCTTTTGATAGCCTCAGGGAGATGCACTGGCCCAATGAGGGAGTAGACACACCCTGATGGCCAGCTTTGGGAATGTAATCTAATGATTTTTAGCAAGGAAGAGGCAAAAGGCCTGCCAGGACCATGATTGTCATGCTCAGGCCAGCTATAGCCCCTTTTTTAAAACCCTATTAATATTTTTGTTGGTTAAGGAAAGGGACCCACTGTTTGCCAGTGAAATATGTCATTTAGTGAGTTTATTGGGGAATTTGATCCTAAGTTTTGTGTGGTATCCGTTGGCCTATGTAAGTTTAGTTGGGTCCTCATACGTCAATAAAAATATTAAGAACTGAGCCTGGTGCTACAGATTGTACTGCCATCTACTTGGGAAGCCGAGGCAGCAGAGTCAAGGTTCAAGCCCTGCCTGGGTTACAGGAACAGTCCTGGGCTAGCCTGTCAGCTAGGAAGGTACTCTAAAAAAAATAAAGAGAGGACAGGGACTATAGCTCAGTGATGGGGCACTGGCTCTCCTGACATGCATAGGGCTCTGTGTTTTGTCCCCAGCACCACAAAGAAATTTAAAACTGAAGAGAGGAAAAGTTAAACAAACAATATCACTAAAATAAACTCACATTTCTGTACAGAAACGTGGAAGGAAGGAGTGTAGGGTTGATATTTCTCATGAGATATCTGATTCCTGAAACTTGCTTGATTTTGAGGTTAAAGACTGTTGTGGGCTTTGTTACTGTGTTTTTGCATTCTCTTATATAGGAAGCTTGTAATGATTATGCTTTTGTCCTCCTCTCATCTGGAATAGCCAAGCTTGTAATAAGGAATTCTAATAATAATAAGAAAAATTATTGCTGTTTTCCAATAGGCAAACCTGTGGCAACTGGGAAATTCTGGGATGTAGTTGTAATAACAGCAGCTGACGAAAAGCAGGAGCTTGCTTACAAGCAACAGTTGTCGGAGAAGCTGAAGAGAAAGGAATTGCCCCTTGGAGTTAACTATCATGTTTTCACTGATCCTCCTGGAACCAAAATTGGTATATATTTCATGGGCATGTTTATAACGGATTTGGAGCAAAATAATAATTGAATCATTTTCTGAGCTTTACAGTGTGTAAACTGTTTATCTCTACACATGGCCTTTACAAACTTTAAATCTGATTCTAAATTAACCCCTCTTAGCAAGATGAAAGTCAGAGCAATTACAATAGACCTCATGGGAAGTTCTCTCAAAATCTTGCCCAACCCAGTAGTTTTTCACCCATTTGCACAAAGAAAACAAACCAGGAAATTTATGTGTATATTTGGTCTCTTTGGACCAAAATATGGAAAACAGATGAACCCAGGTCCAGTCACTTAAAGGATCATAGAATATTTGCTTAAACCTTGGTTTAATTCAAACTTGGTCATTATTGCAAATAAAACATATTTTACCTTTGATTCTGGATGGAGGGAATTGCAAATAATTTCTTCTGCATTTTTGTAGTTATTGTTAAAAGTGTTTCGCTTTGAAAGCCAGCATTCATTTTTTATTTACTTATTTAGTCGCTGTGTTTCACTTGGAAGTAGTATGAATTTTATAAAAATTTATCCCTAAAATTGTAGCTCATATGAAAGCTAAAGCCCCTTTCATGCCAGGAAGGGAATGCATGTACATGAGATTGGCATTTTTTTTTTTTTCTGACGATCCACTGTGGATTTAATCCTCCCAGGAAGAAAGCCAGCACTTGTATGACATTCTATTTGTAGAAAAGAATTGTGTATATAGTATGTTAGTAATATTTAAAATATTTTCTTACAAACCAAGTTCTTACATTAAAAAAATAGCTCATGTTGGGATATGTCATTTGGACAAACTCATTAAGCAAGCTTTCTGGTTGATAACTGCATATGAATTCACAGTTTAGAGATTGTGTAATTTATCATTTCTTTCATTTTGTTCTCCAGAGATTATTAGCTGCTGTTTGATATGTTTCTTGATTGGCGTTTTGTTTGCTTATTTGCTGTGACTGCTCTATTCTTCTGTCAGTACCTTCTCAATCTGTCACATCTTCCAAATTATAACATTAAATATATCATCATAACAAAATCTTCATAGATGTCTGTGAAGCAAATTACACTTTTGAATTGTTTTTAAGGAAATGGAGGATCAACACTTTGTTCTCTTCAGTGCCTGGAAAGCCTCTATGGAGACAAGTGGAATTCCTTCACAGTCCTGTTAATTCACTCTGGTAACTTACTGTTTTATTCCCCTACATTTAGCCCTGAGTTTCAGGCTTTGACAGCTTAGGGACTTTATCTCCTTTGCAAATGATTTCCCCCTATATTTTATTTTGTTTTAAAATTTATTGGTGGTATTTTACTTTGGAGATAAATGTTCATGATATTTTGGGTTGTTTGTTTGCTATTTTCAGTGAGTAAGTAATAAGATTTTCACAAATTTTTTCTTCACATTGTAGATTATGTCCATTATCCATGCCTTACAGATATTTTACCATTTCATTTTTTGTTTGCAAATAGAAAATTATTTTTCACAAAACTATTGAAAATGTGGCCATTTCTTGAAGGCAAATTTTGTTGTGAAAGAAAATGGATGATGAAGACTCGATAGTTCTCAAAACTCTACCTTGCATTTTTGTCTGATTATTGATAGTTGAAAGCTACAATGTTTAGCAGTTTTAAAAACAAAAGAAAATTGATGAAATACAGAATTAACATGTTGGAAAAACATACAACATGTCAAAAGAGAAATCAGAAGATATTATCAGATAGTGGGTAGGTTTTTTAATTGAATACATATATAAAAATATTTGTTGCATGGACAACTCTGCTGTTTGTCTCTATATTCTTGTGGGCTGGTGAAACCTTTCTCAAGGCCTGGCAATGGCCTGGGATATATAATTTAGAATGCCTATTGACATAGCTTCAAAGATGCTTTCTAATTCCAAGTTGCATGCATGGTAATGTGACTCTTTGTACAGAGGATGTCAACGTAGTACATCCAAGGCCTGCTTTCAGGAAAAAGTTAAGAACATAGAACAATTCACTGTTTTGTAGGGTAAAGGTAAAATGAATTGGACATGAGAAAATAGGTAGGCAAGAAGTACAGTGGGCCTTCTGAATGCTCACACTCCATCCATCTCGGCAGAGGCAGACCGTGGTGGAGAGAGTATGTGACGGGCCATAGAAATGTGTCTGTACTGAACGTGGGGTCTTTTCATAACTCCTGGAACAGCACTGCATAACCGCTGTTCATGTAAACCTTACATTGTATTAGATAAAAAAATCATCCAGTAGCATGGGGTACATGCACATACGCGCCATTGTGGGTCAGGGGTTTGGTGTCCTCAGGTTTCAGGGTGTGCCTGGGTTGTGAGCCAGCCCCCACAGATGTGAGGAAGGGCTGTGGATAATTTGTTCAGTTTGAACTTTGCTACCATCTGGTCTTTGGGAAGAAAAACATAGTGGTTTTTAGCCCTTCTTTCTTGAGCAGCGCACTGTGGACAGATCACTTTAAATGTCGAATTGGTCTCCTGACACTGCCCGACTGCAGCCAGTCCTCAGGGAGTGACTGAAGCGTGCAGAGCCACTGGTGAGCTCATTTATCAGCCTCTCCCAGGGCAGAAGTCTGCATCTCACTGTACACACTCTCTTCACACAAAAAGGATCCAGACATTCAGTGTGTTTAAGAGAACACATTTCAGAAATCAAGACATTATGAAGTTCATCTTAGAAGGGAAAAGCCAATTTGAATGAAAAAATGGTATAATTAAAAAAATTGTTCTTAAGTAAATTTGCATTTACTTCCTTTAAGTATGTCACTTAAGTTGAAGATAGTGCGTCATGAAATGGATGTTTAGCAGAGAAGTACATTTTGAAACTGTTAAACGGCATTAGTCTTACAGCTTTTTCTAAGTACACCCCTAATATATAACTTTAAACGTAGTTGGAATGCGTTTAGAAATGTTCACAGAAGATCAAGTTTTAAAAGTGGTCCTTTTGTTCGTCATGCAGTTGATTAAGAACACTCACTACCCAGGCTCTGTGTGTCTTTGAATTATTTCCTGACCCAGAGTCTTTAAAATTGCATTATATCAAATTGCTGTAGGAGAAACACTCTTTGATGGTTTTAAAGTCTAAGTTTCCTAATTCTACCTTCATTTTCATTAGATACTAGTATTAAGTATCTTCAGAGGTATGTTATGCTGTAATTGGTGCCACCAGAATTTGAAAATTTAAATATTTTACACTTTTTATAGGTGGCTACAGTCAACGACTTCCCAATGCAAGCGCTTTAGGAAAAATCTTCACGGCTTTACCACTTGGTGAGCCCATTTATCAGATGTTGGACTTAAAACTAGCCATGTACATGGATTTCCCCTCACGCATGAAGCCTGGAGTTTTGGTCACCTGTGCAGATGATATTGAACTATACAGCATTGGGGACTCTGAGTCCATTGCATTTGAGCAGCCTGGCTTTACTGCCCTAGCCCATCCATCTAGTCTGGCTGTAGGCACCACACATGGAGTATTTGTATTGGACTCTGCCGGTTCTTTGCAACATGGTGACCTAGAGTACAGGCAATGCCACCGTTTCCTCCATAAGCCCAGCATTGAAAACATGCACCACTTTAATGCCGTGCATAGACTAGGAAGCTTTGGTCAACAGGACTTGAGTGGGGGTGACACCACCTGTCATCCATTGCACTCTGAGTATGTCTACACAGATAGCCTATTTTACATGGATCATAAATCAGCCAAAAAGCTACTTGATTTCTATGAAAGTGTAGGCCCACTGAACTGTGAAATAGATGCCTATGGTGACTTTCTGCAGGCACTGGGACCTGGAGCAACTGCAGAGTACACCAAGAACACCTCACACGTCACTAAAGAGGAATCACACTTGTTGGACATGAGGCAGAAAATATTCCACCTCCTCAAGGGAACACCCCTGAATGTTGTTGTCCTTAATAACTCCAGGTTTTATCACATTGGAACAACGGAGGAGTATCTGCTACATTTCACTTCCAATGGTTCGTTACAGGCAGAGCTGGGCTTGCAATCCATAGCTTTCAGTGTCTTTCCAAATGTGCCTGAAGACTCCCATGAGAAACCCTGTGTCATTCACAGCATCCTGAATTCAGGATGCTGTGTGGCCCCTGGCTCAGTGGTAGAATATTCCAGATTAGGACCTGAGGTGTCCATCTCGGAAAACTGCATTATCAGCGGTTCTGTCATAGAAAAAGCTGTTCTGCCCCCATGTTCTTTCGTGTGCTCTTTAAGTGTGGAGATAAATGGACACTTAGAATATTCAACTATGGTGTTTGGCATGGAAGACAACTTGAAGAACAGTGTTAAAACCATATCAGATATAAAGATGCTTCAGTTCTTTGGAGTCTGTTTCCTGACTTGTTTAGATATTTGGAACCTTAAAGCTATGGAAGAACTATTTTCAGGAAGTAAGACGCAGCTGAGCCTGTGGACTGCTCGAATTTTCCCTGTCTGTTCTTCTCTGAGTGAGTCGGTTGCAGCATCCCTTGGGATGTTAAATGCCATTCGAAACCATTCGCCATTCAGCCTGAGCAACTTCAAGCTGCTGTCCATCCAGGAAATGCTTCTCTGCAAAGATGTAGGAGACATGCTTGCTTACAGGGAGCAACTCTTTCTAGAAATCAGTTCAAAGAGAAAACAGTCTGATTCGGAGAAATCTTAAATACAATGGATTTTGCCTGGAAACAGGATTGCAAATGCAGGCATATTCTATAGATCTCTGGGTTCTTCTTTCTTTCTCCCCTCTCTCCTTTCCTTTCCTTTTGATGTAATGACAAAGGTAAAAATGGCCACTTCTGATGGAAAAAAAAATATTCAGAATTAAATTCAGGAAAGAGATGCTGTTTTAGGTGTTTTGTACTATTACAGCTTTGGGTTTTTTTTTTTTGTAAAAATAAATTTATGGGATACTGTTTCACATAATAACCATTCCTGTTTTAGACCATGATTTTCTAAACATACTTTAAAATTTTTTCTGTCTTTTGAAGTTTGGTCTAATAAAGCTCTGGAGGTACTGATGATTGTATCACTTTACTTATCACAGTGAGATAACACCTAACAAAAACATCCTTTTAAATTTTTTAAGAGACTCATTCTTTTGTTGTGCATTCTTCTTTTAATTTTGTTTTGTTTTTATTTTATGTGCATGAGTGTATTACCTACAGGTATGCATGTGTAACACATACAGGGCCCACAGAGGTTAGAACAGCTGCTCTCAAACTGTGGGTCACAACCCCTTTCACAGGATCACCAAAGGCCATCAAAAATATTAACATTACAGTTCATAAGAGTAGCAAAATTATAATTAGGAAGTAGCAGCAAAAATAATTTTATGCTTGGGGGTCACCAGAACATAAGTAACTGTATTAAAGAGTCACAACATTGGGAAGGTGGAGAAACACTGGGCTAGAAGAAGGCATTGCATCTATTGGGACTGGAATCAAAGCTTCATACTCGGAAAATGCTATACGATGTCTGTGTCCCACAGATCTTGCCAAATGGGATAAAATGAATTATTTTATTCTTACCAAGTTGAACATGTGTTGCCGTATTTTGTAAACTACTGTTGCATTACACTGGGAAATATGTATGGGAGGAACTCAGTTTATTTGCTTAGAAGGTGATAGTTGAGAGCCAGTGCTCACTTCACCACGGGCATTTCTTAACCCACTCTTAATCATTCCCACAAATGTTCCTTGACTTGCTTTACATAATTTTCTGTGCATACTGATGGCGAAGCTGAGAACAAACAGTTGGCACAAAGAGGAGGAAATACAGACTCTGGGATAATACCTAGATCATAAACAACTTCAGGGAAATGAAACGTTGGTGGAACTCCAGGTTATGTGCACCTATTTTGAAATAAACACATTAGTGAAATAGGTTGAAGTTTAATAGAAGCAAGACTTGTCATACTTGTGTTTAAATTACCTTAAGTAAACCAACAACTGTTGTGCCAATTAAATGTTTTTTTTTCAAAAAAGTATATGATAAACAAGACAAGTGTCAAAACCTCTGTTCTGTATTATTTATAAATGAATATGTATTTGTCTTTTTGAGCTTCCCAGGGATAAGTAAAGTATGTGTGATACTTTTATTGATTTGCTACAGAGATGTCAATGGATGCTGAATGTTTTTAAATGCACATACTAATATACCCGAAAGTTCTGTCAAGGATTAGAATCATGATTTAATCTTCTAAAAATATTAATAAAGAATACCAACACTTCCTTGGTTTCTTGAAATTTTTGTATTTATTATAGATATGTGTAGACACATTTAAACAGAATTTTATCATTTCTCTGTGCATATGTATGGAAAGAACCAGATAACATGTAGTATAGGGATATAATCAGGACATTTCTGCCTTATAGAGTCAAGGTCAGCCTCTGTGAATCACTCAGGAATCAACTCATACTTATTGATAGACAGCTGTCCCCCACGCACTAGCCACTTTGACTTCAAAGGTATTGGTAAGGCTGCATGCTAACTTTTTTTTTAATCTTGAGAATTTCATGCATGTGTACAATGAACTATGATCACAACAATCCTTCACCTTCCCACCTCTCCTCTATCCCCCAACATGTGTCTCTCCCAACCTCATGCCTTATTTTGTTTTAATAACCTACTAAGTCCAGTTAGTGCTTCCCATGTGTTCATCCACAGGAACACGGCACATCTATCATTAGTCAGATCCTCAAAAAAAGAGTAATTCTTCCTCCTCTAGAAGCTATCAAGTTCAAGTTGCTCCCTGAAAAGGTGTGGGTCCTGGAAATTATCTATCTCCTCTGCTAAATTTTGTGTGGCTGGATCTTGTGCTGGAAATCCCAAGTGCTGTGAGCTCATGGCAGTAACAGCCATCGTATGACCAGAAGAAGACATTGCTTTCCCATCCTCCTGCTCATATATTTTCCACTGCCTCTTACGTGACGCCCCTGAACCTTTATGGGAAAGGGTTGGATAAATTCCCCATTTAGACCTGAGCACTCACTGTTATTCTCAGACCCTTGATCAGTTACCCAGCTACTTGCTGCTAATCCACATGACAGCAAAACTAGACAACATACTGTTGCTCCTGAACTTGGTCTAGACACATGAAAATTTCCGATTTCATGCTTCCATGGAATAGTTACCACAGTCTGGTTGGAAAGTTCCAGGTCTTCTCCTGGCAAAGTTATCTTTTTATCTACACGAGCAAAAATAAACCAAACTTAGATCATGGCTTAGAGTTGCCAATTTGTTTGTAGTTTGGCTGGTCACCATTTTGAGTCAGGACAGAATTTAAAATAAAAGAATGGTAAATCTGCAGATTCCCCACCACTTGATAAATATAAAATTAGAGCCAAAAGAGAAGGATACTAATGAAGAATAACTGGCACCATCTCCTTGTACAGCAGCGTTCACACCATGTCTAAAGATGGCCGTCAAAAGGCACCACTGTACATAAAGTGGCCAACACTGTTTCCTTCAAGGCTGTTTAGGTCAGTAGTTTACGATTTTGAAGATTCCAGTGCAGGGATGTGTAACATGAAAAATAAAAACCCAGACATTTGGCTGCAAGCTGAAGATCAGAGAAGCAAAGCAGCCAAATTAGTAGATCTCACCTCTACCAAGCTGAAATGGCCATCTTGTCTCCACCAATCCTCAGAGGCAACAGCTCTCGATGCCTGTCTCCTCCTCCTTGTATTCCTTTCTCTATGCAGCCATATCCTCTTGTCTCCTCCTTCATCCTGGGATTAAAGGGGTGTGATCTCAAGTGCTGGGATCAAAGGCATGAGCTCTGTTACTCTTCACTCTTATGTAGGCCAGGATGTCCTTGAACTCGGAGAGATATATCTGTCTCCTAAATCTTGGATTAAAGGTGTGTGCCACCACTGCCTAGGTAGCTACTATGGCTTCTGGCATTAGGGGTGTGTATCATCATTGTCTGACTTCTATGGCTTGTGGCTAGCTTCAAATTCTGAACCCTCAGGAAGACTTTAATAAATCATAAATAATACATCACCACAGGGATGTGTAAGTCATTCAACATGGATTTTACCATTCACACAGCACCTTTCTAATTACAGAAGCCTGCGGCTGTCCCTCTGCTAGTGTCTTTCTTGGCCATCTGTGCTGTGATTATCCTTCAACTGTGGTTTCATGCAGTTGTCAATCTATCTTTATGTCTTTAAAAAGAAAAGTAATCCACTAAGACCAGTTAGTGCTGCCCATGTGCATAGGGTGTGGGACCATCCACTGGGACACAGCCCAATGTCTCTACTCTTCAAGAACTTTCATGTACTGTGTTACTGATCTGCTTGTTGAGTCTCCAGACTCTTTCAAAGCTTTCAAAATCTCTACTGCAACAAACATGTTATGAATATTGTGAATTCGACAGTATGCATAACTTGTTTTTATTATTATTATTCAACAGCATCTACTCTTCTGCTGAGTATTTGGGTGTTTCTGGTTTGTTTTAATTTATCATTCCCTTCCCCAGAAAAGAATTGAAGCACTTAAATCTTGAGGCAAAATCTTTTAAAACAGTTCCATTGAAATCAACTCTCATTTCATTTGCAGGTTGAAAAATGCTGCATAGCTCAATGAAGTTTTACATGAGTGGCTTTCTTCCTCTTGCTCATAGCCTTGGGGTTTCGGAAAGTAAATTATAGACACAAATATGCTGTTTTTCAGAAGGGTTTCAAAGTAGTTGTAGTAAAACCTAAAACCTGAGAAACTTCAAAAATATAATTATATTAGTGGTCTAAATGCAAATTTTGATACACTGCTTTACTGACAAAATTGTAAATTAACTTACAATTTTTCTAATTGCACATCTTTATAATCACCTTTATTAAATTTTAGGAAAGTATCATTATACTTGGTTAAATCTTGTTGAACTTCTAATGATCTAAAATCTAGTCCAATGAAGAGCTGTTGGCAGAAGCTGCCCTGTGGACAAGGAGGGAGAAAAATACAGCAGTAGAGATGTTTGTTTCTCTCTTGTTACAGCTGGTGCCCAGCACATAAAAAATGCATGCCATTGGTTCAATAATAGAAGTACTTATAGCAGATCTTTCTTTGGAGAGCCAGCTCACGAATAATGACACAGAGATTTATTATTAAGTATGAAAGCTTTGCCTTAGCTTAGGCTTATTCCCAACTAGGTCTAAAAACTTAAACTAACCCATTTATATTAATAGCATGTTCTGACTCATGGCTCTTTACTTCGTAGTACCATACATCTGCCTTCCTCACTGTCTGGCTGTTGAATCCGCTGCCTCTCAGATTCTTCCCCTGACTTCCCCTCTCTCTCCAGAAGTCCGACCTATTCCTTTCTGCCAATCTATTGGCCACTCAACTCTTTTTGAAACCAATCTGAAGGTGCCTCAGACAGTCAAGGAAGGACAGAGATACTTTTTCGCAGAGTGTGATCAAATATCCCACAACATTTCCCCCTTTTGTCTAAATAAAAGGGAAAGGTTTTAACTCTAAAACAGTTCTATCTAATAAGTATCAAGTAAGGAAAACACTCACAATGCCCAGTCCATTTGAATTTGGCAACTTTGGAGGAAGTACTCTATTACCCAGTATCAGTGACTCTAAAGTTTTATACCTAAATCACTTTCTATCGTAATTTTATTACCAAACTAAAAATATTTTTTTAGATCTTAAGACATTTTCTTAGATAAATTAAGCGTTTGTCTCTAAATCTGTATAAACTTTACATCTGTTTTGTGAGTTTCTTTTTTTTGAATTGGGCAAAAAGAAAATGGGAAAACTATGCATATCCACTCTCCAATTTCATCAGAGACCTGAGAAGGATATAATATTACCTGGGTAAAAAGGAAATGTAGAGCAAGCAACCTCCAAAGTAACAGAGACAGCTGTCTGCATGGACATTCACTCAAGGTTCTTATGAAATGTTGGAGTACCCATCTTCAGCCTACAAGGCTAGAATATCAGACACACTTTCCTGTGAAGCAGGAATTTTGAAGGACTTTTCTACTTTGTCTTGGCAAAGTTTGGCAATCACCTCCTTTTGTGACCTACTTGCCAAATTTGAACAACATACTGTCAGCAGTGAAATGCAGTTTCTTGCCCAGTGGCTAACTTTGCCACAACAAACACAAGCCCAATATGGAGTATCTTCAATATCTATTGTCCTTTTTTGAAGAAGATTGGTGTTGCCAGGTTCAGATGATGTTATTGTCATGAAAAGCCTTATGGTATTAAAACATCTCAAATGCCGTTTTCTGTAGATCTCTGAAGTGTTTGAAGATCATCTATCTAAAATACATGTTTTTAATCTTGAAAACATATCTCACATGGCTACAAGTTTTATTGTTAAAGATGTCTAACCACTAATCTACATTTGTAAAATTATCCTAAACAGTTTGTAACAATAGCTTTCAAGGAATATTACTTTATATTTTTAAATGAGCTGAATAGGTGCAATACTTTAAAGAAGTGTAGAAACATTTATACAGTGTTATAACAAAAATAGCTTTAAATTTGTATCAATATTCAAAAATCAATACCAATGTAAAATATTTGAGACTAGTAGTTACTTTTAAGTTTAAACGTAGATTCAATAATCTACCTTTATATCCTATTGTTCCTATAGCCTCCATTTTCACTAGATTGGAGAGAAAGATAGAGGAAAGAGAAAGAAAAAGAAAGAAGAAAATCCTTAATCCAACCTTCTTTGTTTAGTATCTACCCTGACCATGGCCAATAATAAGTAGTAACCCCCTTGAACAGTGAAAAGCACCCACTACTCACTGAACCACCAAAGACTACCTCACATCTCTTGGGAATGTAGGCATCATGTTGTTAGCATTACCTCCTTTTATCTGAAGGGGGAAGCATCTTTAGGGGACCCTGAGAAATTTGGAATAATGATCAAGTCTCAAGAAAGCTAGCTGAAACATTTGTTGTCTAATCTGTATGATGACAAATTGCAGAGCTAAACTGATGTCCTGGCTAGAGTAGTCTGTGAGGCTGGAACATCTTCATTCAACACTTTGAAGTTGTTTAGATTTTTGAGGAAACTACATCAGAGGCATCCTGAGAGCCTGGATCACCTGGACTACTTGTCTCCATTGGCATCTGTCCTTTTTTTTTTTCTGAAAACACCAACATTTCAAAGGAAACATACCTGCATGCTGGAATGTGCAGTGTGCCAGGATAAAGTCATCTGTTTGAAGTGCATAACCAAACTGTAATATAAATCTCATTCATGCCA